ATCACTAATGCCTTCCCAACTTCTCACCCACAACGGTAGTCTACTTATTGTACGATGTATGCCCGTATTCAACTATTTTATTAATTTCAATATATTTTAATGAACAGTTATCCATCATATTATTTAAAATATAATACATTATTCTGAGCTTATTATTAATAACATTTAATGGATCTTTTCTTAATTTTTTAAAACGGGAATATGGCCTGGACCAATGATATTGTTAACCGCTATTTGTTTGTTATGGGATAATAGATACGAGACAAATTTAAATAGTATTTCCAGTATCTTCACGATTAAATTCATGTTAAACCGTGAAAACACGTTATGAAATAGATACCTATAAAATTATTTTTCGTTGAGTATACATACAAGAGATTCAAGTAATAACTTATCCCTGGAAAATACGGAGGCAGTTCAATTTGTTTACCTTAAAAACATAGAAGGTATTGCGAAATATAACAATTTGAAAGCAGAATGACATGATATCTTTATTAAATATTATTTTATTAGAGTATCCTGTTTGAAGCTTATGTAATATAAGTAAATTAAATACATTTATTTAGGTTAATGTTCCTACACCTGAGAGGCGTGAACACATTGCAGGGAAGGAGCATTTGTAATTTATATGTATATATATAACTTTATATTTCACTTTTAAATCTGGTTTGAAAAGGAGAGGGGGGGGATATGCTAGATATTTTAAAATCAAAAGTCGGTATTATGTATTTATGTTGTATACAAAATAAGGGTTAAACATTGTTTAACACATTTGTAAATAAGATCATTAAATACGTACGGTATAACGACTAACGGTTAGAAACCAAAATCAATTTTAAATTTTAACTCTCCTTGGATATAATCACTGGATCAAGATGATAAAAAAATAATTTTGTAAATAATTCTCTTCTATTAATATATTTATATTAATAAATAATTAGTATTAATTTTGTTACTTGATTTCCATGTAACAAAATAATATGTTAGAACATATGTTGCATATTGCATTCATACCCGAATTACATCAAAAGAGGATCCTAAAAATTAAAATTCTTTAAAAGCTCAAATGTTGTTCAAAGGTTTTGGTTATGACACCGTAAGAAAGTAAATTAAAAAGATATTGTGATTTTTCGATTAAATCACTTTTTCTTTCATAAAACGTCGTCTGTGTTTTTATAAAATAATGCAATTGTAAAATTGTATGTTTTCCTACGTTATTTACCACTTAAGTTCTTTTATTTAAAAATTGACCTCCGTAGAATACCAACTAGATAATTTGACCTTTCAGAAAACTGCTATACGTAAAAATCGGAGCAAGTGTACTAGGAAAAAACGTATCCACAAACTAAAAAAAAAGGAAATAAATAAAAAAAACGAACATCTTAGTAAAACCAATAGCTCCGTCGCTACGCTCAGAATCTAAAAAAAATATTTGGATCGATCGGGTGTGGTTTTTTAGATGTGAAACGGTAAAATAATAATTTCGACAGAAGCAGTTTAAATGTAAAAGCCAATGATAAAAATGCAAAAATTTAGGTTCATTCGGGCCGGATTTGAACCAGTGACCTATGGATATCTGTGCTTTATATCCTTCTTCAGTCCACCGCTCTACCAACTGAGGTCCCGAAGGCCATGTGTATGGACGACGATTTCAGTCTATTTAAGTGCACGCGTTGTTACGATAGAATAATATTGACATCCAACAGTTAACCTCATGTCATCTAGCGACGACTTCGTTCGAACGTTACAGTTCTTTCTATTCGAAAACAGATGGCGTCCCGCGTACCGTTTTATAATGGTATATTATCGGCGAAAGAAACCGTTTGGATTTAATTTTTATGAAACTCATCTTTATCTTTTGCCGTCGAAAAATATCGTGAAAAATCATAATTATGAAATGTTTTATAAAAGCAACCGTAAAATCCTAATATTTTTTTGAAAAACATTTTGTATTTGCTACGGCAGTACATATACTAAAATTGGAACGATACAGAGAAGATCAGCATGGCCCCTGCGCAAGGATAACACGCAAAATCGTGAAGCGTTCCACATTCTTCCGATCAACCCACCTCTTTGAATACAGCTGTTACGCCAGAGTTTGCCGATGACAAGGCCATTATTTCTATCCATGATAATCCTCACACAGCTTCCCACAATCTTCAACTCCACCTTAACCTCATGGCTCATTGGTATAAAAAATGGCGTATCAAAGTTAATGAATCCAAATCACTCCATACAACATTTACTTTTCGTCGTACTCCCTGTCCTATGGTGTCTCTAGACAATATTCAAATCCCTTCCTCTCAATCGGCCAAATACTTAGGTCTGACAATTGAATGGACACTTCAAATAATGATTACTCGTCGTCGGGCGGATGGATTGCATCTACGAAAAATAAAACCAAAAGAATTCATTCAAATTCTTTCGATCAGAGTTCACCACGAACGCCAATAAATAAAAAAAAAAAACTATTTTTTTCCACAAATCGGTATGAAGTATTATCGCAAGATGATCCTCNCGAACGCCAAAAAAAAAAAAAAAAAAAACTATTTTTTTCCACAAATCGGTATGAAGTATTATCGCAAGATGATCCTCCGTCCGCACCTCCGTCGTAGGATAATAATTCAGCTCCTATTCAAAATCCCATAGATTCTATTAATGCCGCACCAAAAGTTCTGCGACCGCCCCCAATTTTTGTAAGAGGTTTATACAACTTCCCTGACCTGTACACTAAGCTTATCGAGTTAATCGGAGTAGATAACTTTTATTGCAAATCATCGACAGATCGAGTGAAAATAATGACAACAAACCCTGAATCGTATAGATCCTTGGTCCACTTCCTGATAGACCAAAAATCAGAATTTCATACTTTTCAACTTAAAGAAGATAAACCAATACGGGTTGTGATTCGAAACCTCCATCCAACTACGCCAACTGAGCTAATTAAATCTGAGCTTGAAATGCGCCTATTTGAAGTTAGGCAAGTCTCAAGTGTTCTCAATAAAGTAAATAAACATCCATTACCCTTAATTTTTGTGGACCTTGAGCCAACTGATCAGTCCAACGACATCTACAATCTCACGTCATTACTTCACACGTTAATAAAAGAGCCATACAAGCCCAAAACTATTAACCAATGTTCAAACTGCCAAGAGTACGGGCACACTAAATCCTGTGCACACTGTGTCCGTTGTGGTGCTCAACACACGACGTCCGACTGCCCAAATCCCAGAGACGCCCCTCCCAAGTGCGCACTTTGTTCTGGAGACCATCCTTCAAATTACAAAGGCTGTTCGATCTACAGGGACCTTCAACGACGCAAAAAATCAAAGCCAAATCATCAAGTAGCTAATAATATTAATCCTAAAAATATACATGTACAAGAAACGCAACCAGTGAAAGCCACCTTGACACCATCCACTGTGAATTATACCTATGCCCAAGCTATTTCTAACTCCAACGCCAATAATACAATTCCTCCTCATCCAGATATTAATGTACTATTAGCGAATTTCATGAATGAGTTCAAACAATTAATAAATCCATTAATAACTCTTCTCACTAAAGTAGTCTCAAATCTTTTAGATAAAAAATAATGTCCTCCTCCACAAGCAACTCTATTTTAATTCTCCAATTTAATGCCAATGGTCTTAAAAATCACGTAAATAAATTGCAGCTAGTTCTTCAGGAAAAGCGCATAGACATTGCGCTAATTTTGGAAACTCATTTTACTAAACACTCCTACGTTCCCATTACTGGATATAATCTCTTGAAATCAAACCATCCGGACAATACAGCCCATGGAGGTGCTGCGATTTATATTAAGTCCTCCCTGCTGTATCAGTCACTTCCGAACTTCTGTCAACCATATTTACAATCATGTGCCATACTTCTACATCTCAATAACATACCAACTACAATAGCAGCAATCTATTCCCCTCCAAGAAATAATTAGAACATACAAAACTATGTTGATTATTTTAGTACCCTTAGTCATAATTTTATAATAGGAGGTGATTATAATGCTAAGCATATTAACTGGAGCTGTTGTGCAAATAACCCCAGAGGTCTGGTACTTTATAATTATACAAATCTGAAAGGCTACAATATTCTAGCTCCACCAGAACCAACATACTGGCTTACTTCCCTACGTAAAAAGCCTGATATTTTTGTCTCCAATACACCATCCAACATATTCCTCATGACTGGAAACCTCCTTGAACCTACCTCGGATCANGCTAAGCATATTAACTGGAGCTGTTGTGCAAATAACCCCAGAGGTCTGGTACTTTATAATTATACAAATCTGAAAGGCTACAATATTCTAGCTCCACCAGAACCAACATACTGGCTTACTTCCCTACGTAAAAAGCCTGATATTTTTGTCTCCAATACACCATCCAACATATTCCTCACGACTGGAAACCTCCTTGAACCTACCTCGGATCACTTAGCTGTACTTTTAATAGCCAGTGCCTCTTAACCAATTCGCTCTTCACCACCTAAACTGTTCTAGCCGAATACCGATAGGTATAGATTTCACGATCTAGTTGATCAAAATATAGATATGAAGGTTAGTCTCAAATCAACTCAAGAAATTGATGATGCAATAAATAAGTTAACAAGCATAATTCAATCTGCAGCTTGGGAGGCTACACCTCCTGAAATGCAGTTTTTAAATAATTCCTTTTCAATTCCAGAACATATTCACATCCTGATAGCTAATAAACGCAGAGCTAGGGCCCTGTATCAACACTCTCGCCTTCCATCACATAAACAAAACTTTATTAGTCTGGCTAACTCTTTTAAAAAAATACTAGCTAAACACAAAAATCATATTCAAGTCAATTACCTTACTAATTTGTCACCAAATAAAAGTCTCTAGGATGCTACTAAAAAGTCTTTAAAAAACGCAGCACCAAACACCCCGTTAATTAAATCAGATGGCAGTCTCGCCTTCTCAGGTAATGAGAATGGTAATGTGTCTGAGATACAAACTCCTCAAATTACCAAGTTAGTAAAACAGTACCTAGATAGCCCCCTTCCTCTCTG